GTGAGACTATAACAAATATGTGCATATACTTGTCCTGTAGTGAGGATATGATCTGAGTATTAGGAAAAAAAATCCTTTCTATTGAAGCACTTCTCATTTGGTACTATTACATTGTTAACTTGAACAGAAGAAAGTCACTTTCTCTGCTTTCTTAAATGTCAGAATACACCATGTAAACCTGGTGACAGAGGGTCTGTCCCTTGGATAGATGACTTTTTCCACGTACATAAAGTTTAAAAGCCAGATGATATAAACATAAAGTTTAACCTTCTTACTACAGTCTTTATGACAATAAAAGAACAACAACTTTTACATCGAACTGATAATACAAACTGGCTTTTGAAAATATTACTTGGACAGACAATTTGTCAAAGTAGAAAAAGGAGCATTCCCCTAGTTTATTCAGTCATAGTCTGTTCCTGCACACCCCTCTTTAATCAAAGGGAACTGCAAGTTAACAATAGCTCCACATAACTGAAACACTTTGTTCATGTGAGACCTCAAGTATGGAGGGACAAACCTGAGAATTTTAAAATCTTTAAGTCTTGCATTTGCCCTTTCAACATGTATGCAACATCTAGCAATTGACTTGGTTAACTTAGCCTCACTTTCAGTGAATTTCCCATGTTCAAGAAATGGTGGAATGTTCACAGACACACCCCTGGGAACAATGTCTTGAATAAGAAATCCTTTGTCTGCTAAGATCAGATCACCAGGAACAAAATGATTTAACAGACCCGACTGTTGGACAATCTCTTTGTCAGAGATGGATCCAGGGTAGAGGTCACAAATGTAGGTCAACACCCCATTTGGTGCTAACCCTGTCAAAACTTTGAATAAATTCATTCCACGATGACTTGAATAGGTGAAATTTTGCTGACTCATAAGGCTTGGTGTAGCAACTTCAATGTCAGTACAATCAATGATTATTCTGCAGCTTGAAAACTCTGAAAATGATGATGGTGAACAGAGCTTGTTCTTGTTCCTGGAAGAAATCGCTCTCATGAGGTCATCAAATAACAATCTATTGAAGACATGTCCAAAGGTTATGACAATGTTTGAAATTGTTCCAACACTGCATGAAAACAGCTGTGCCAGGTGCAAGTTGGTATAGTTTTGCCGTAACTTCATAAGTGCTATGAAGATTTGATCCTCAAAGGTGATTGATTCAACTTTCCAACCACAATAATAAGATATGGAATCCCTGTATTTAGCCACATAATCCACTACAATAGTGAAGATCTCTTTTGTTGGTAGGCCAGTTTCTATTCTTATTACTTCAGAAGTCATCATCGAGACAGAGTGGTGAGTCTTTTGATACTGTATGGTGTTCTGTTGACTGCTCAGCTCTTGCTTTGCTAAGTGTAATTCTGCCTCCAAAATTATTTGCTCAGTTGGAGGAGTGGTACTTTCATCCTGGGCTTCTGAAGACTCTGCTGGTGTTGTGGCACTAATACTGGCCAAGATATCTTTTACTGCAGGTAACTTAGCCTCTGAATCAGGCTTCTATTTCTTCTGCACTGGGGGTTCTTGGAGAGCACGAAAGAAGCGTAAGAGTTGCCCGAGGCGATAGACGAGGGCAACTCTAGCTTCTTGAGTGCTCTCCAAACTTCCCACGTGCTCCATAACTCGATAGTGCACAGCTGAAAGCATGAACCAATTGTTTTAGAACATAGCCGGTGGAATTG